TTTTTCACTTTACGAGGCTGTTGCTCGCGAGACGCAGCCTCGAAGGTAGTACGGTCGCCGCGATTCGAAGCCCGTATGTACGCGTACGCCGCTCGCTCGTCTTGTAAAAGTCAATATTTATGAGGGTGCTAACCACCGTCATCGCTCATCCCGACTCGTTAACCGGCTCTACGCCGGCGCGGCTTTGTGTTTACATCCGAAGGACAGGCATCCTCTCTTTATTGTCAGCCCTAAAGAAAACACGTCCACCGCTGCGCGCCACACGGCTTGGGTCCCGGCTGCTGCCTGCGTTGCTGCTGAATGCGGCTTGGTACGTGCCTGGCCTGCGGTCGTGCCAGAGATCGCACATTCGCTTATCAACGTATCCGTACCCAGCCGTCGACCACATTTTTGCGCCACGATTTTAGTGAAAACATGTATTGTCGTTTGAAACACGCGATAAACATGACTTTATGGCTAAACTCTTCATCCAAACATCGCTAGCTCGAATAAAAGAAATAAGGGATATCTTTATATTATCTATAGTTGAATCTAATTAAGAATTTCTACTTGTTATTGCTAGCTGTATGGATGAAAGATGTAATTGGATGCAACAGAATCATTCTCTCTTGTTTAAAAAAAATTAAATATTCCGAATAATTTCATTTCAAGTTATTTAATTCTGTTTATTTCACTTATAATTACATCGCACTATATTATTTTTAAATAGAGCAATAGAACAATGAGTTATCATCTTTCCTTCTCCTCGCTGCTGCATAAGTCGTGTACTTTCACTCGATTAGTTTCGACATTGAAAGGTATCGATAGATAAGATTTCCGAGCAAGAAACGACTTTCCTGAATTCAACTTGAGAGATGTAAATGCGAGCTTACATTTTCACTCTTGCTTTACACGCCAGGACTTCAAGTTAAAGATTAATTATTAAGGTTAAAAGTTAAAGGTTAATAAGTAAAAAAACCAAAAATGCCACGCTTATTATGACGATTACGAGTACATTGAGTCATTCAATATTTACTGCATTCTTTCTCGAAAAGGTTACAGTAACTCACGCTATTATAATTACGACACACGAGGGGGAACGGAGAAAGGCAAAGTGCTTTACAGAAGCAACAGGTGCGCAGCAAGGTAAGTCGGTTCAAGTGCCGCCATCTCTCACAATGCTGTTCAACGCGCCTTCCGTTCACTCGCATCTAGCTCGTCGATAAAAACGCATTCTTTCAATAACACATAGTGCAAATCAACCAACAAATTCCATTCATTTCTTTTTCGCAATATGTATTTCACATAAGTGAATTTTTCTCGTCTGAATCGATCATCTGAAATTTTCGAGCACTTTGCACACAACGAGGAAAAATAAATAACACATTATTTTAATTGTCCTATTTAAAAATAACAATATTGTGCGATATAATTATACTTGAAATAATCAGAATTAAATAATTTGAAATAATTATTCAAAATATTAAATTTTTTTAAACGAAAAGAGATAATTTTGTTGCATCAAATTATACCTTTCATGTAGCTAGCAATAACAAGTTCAAATTCTTGATTAGATTCAATTATAAATAAAATATCCGTTATTTCTGTCTTTTATTCGAGTTAGTGATGTTTGGGTTAAAAAATTTTCTTATCGACTCTCGAACTCATGTAGCGCATCTTTTAATTCAATACGCGACAAATATTTAACATAGCATAATTACATCAATTACTTACCCTTTGGCAATGCTCTGCACTGACCCGCGATAAATCCGCGAGAGGTTGAAAGATAACATCATGAAATTCGGGATAATTCCGTGCCAACGGACGTGCGTACAATTCTTTGGCGCTGCTCAATATTTCGTGAAATTCCTCTTCCGTGTGCAACAGCTTCTCTGTAGCTCTGTATTTGCGATCTGTATCTGCAAAATAATCACATTTTTATATTATAAGAGAAAAAGAACTTTCTTGTGGAAAAATATCAGGCCCCGCAAAAAGTCCTGTCGTTTTTTTCAAAGCGTCTTTATTACCTTGCTGTAATTCATTCTTACACATTTGTTTTGATGGAATCGTGATCTTTTGCATTCAAAACATATTTGTTTTTCTTACAAAATAAGATATTTAAAACGCGCATTCGTTTACAGCATTAAAATGGTAGACCGTGAAACGACAATTCGCTCAGTATTGTTTTATGAGTTCAAACTCGGGCTCAAAGCCACAGAACCGTCATTTCCGATCGGAAAGCACAATTTTGGTTCGGCAAATTTCATTTGGGAGATGGATTCCTTTTAGACGATCCTAGATCGAGAAGGCCGGAAGTCGTAGATGATAAACTTCAAGAGTTAATCGACTCCGATCCACTAAACCTGTTCAGAATTGGCGTCTAAACTCAATATATCAGAAACTACCGCCAGGAATCACCTTCATCATATAGGAATTACAGCGAGATAAACAAGACTTCGAAAAAAAACGAGAGGACTTTTTGCGGAGCCTGATATATATAAATGTATATAAATGTATATAAATGTATATAATAATGTATATAAAAATAGAATTCTGAATGAAAAAAATGCGTAATAAATTTTTGCAAGCTCCAAATAATAACAAATATTATTTAAATAAATTTTATATTTAAATTTGCTGCAACGTCCTATTTGTAAAACCGAGTGTCGACGGAGAAAAGAAGCGTCAGCAAATCAAACATGCGAATTACCAGCGAATACTTTATTGTTAACTGATTGTAAAAGATGTTTGTCGTCGTTTTTGGATTATTAGAACTGCTTTGTACCACTATCTTATGCAATCTTGAACACTTATATAGAATTCTAAATCGTATCCCTTCTCCGTAAAACCAATTAGACAACGATAATGCGGCAAATATTAATTGTCGCCACATTGATGATAAGAACGACATTCGGCTGCTCGCGACGATTTCAGCGTCTCGAGAAGAGAATAATTTACTCAAAGTAAACTCTCAATAACGAAAATGAATATAAACGTCTTTCTAAAGACGAAATCTACGACGACACGGTTTCATAATAACGAATTAAATCGCAGTTGACTTTTATAACTAATTCAATTTAATACATTTAATGAAATTTCTTCTTGCTCCATTGTATTCCCAACACTATCAGAGGATAATAGTAACGGAAATGTTAATTACCTCCGATCGCATTGTATTGTCTTCCAGAGTCTTCGATGAGTAAGACTTCACCGTGCAGAAGGGCTACATCAGCTGCGGGGTCGACCTCGGCCCTCGAGCCAGCAAGCAGTAATCGAGGCCTGCAAACTCGATATTTCAAAAGTACCGGGGCGACCACGGAAGAAATAGCTCCGGGTGATGAGGCTGATAACTGCAACAGACAAAAAACCAAACCATCGTACAAGAACATCATCAACTGCTCACGAATCAAATAGCCAGCTTATTCGATCGAATGAATAATTCATGAAGAAAATTCTGTGCATTATATTATTTCATTAGGTTATGTAAAAATTGATACAACCTCTTGCAATCAATTAAGTTGCTCGAAAATATATTCCAATTGTCATAAATTAGTAATTGAAAATATGATTAGTAAAAGAAATAACTATATTTTCATTTTTATATATTAATACAATAAAATAAATTATTAACTGCGCAACAAAGAATTAATCGTCATCATAGACTAGAAATAACAAAAGTACTGTACAAAAAAGAGTTTTATTAAATGCTTCAAGAGAAATTAGATATCCTGTACAGATTTAATGGAATGGAATGGACAGATTAATGGAAGGGGCGCTTCGTGGGAAGAAAACCGGTCCATTCAGCAACGAAAAGCTCGGAATGTCCTAATTACACGGCCGGACAGAAAGAGAGAATGGTTCCCTTGTAAAAAGCATCGGATGTCGGCTGGCAAATCCATAACTTCGCACAGTAGCCTTAGCTGGTTAAATCTCGAAATCTCGATTGCTACGGTAAGGAACGCGAAAACAGCGCATAATTAAAACGGGTCCAGATATTTACGGTCTGACAATGTGTGCAGCGACGCGAAGGGAAATCAGATAAACTTCGAGAGCCCATAGGTTTACATCAGACAAGACCGTACGTCGACCTTTTCGGCGGCCTCTCGCGGTCCGGAGTCGCACACTCCGCCCGAATACTCATTGCGTATGAATATAATACGGTGATCGTTCGATCATAATTCGCGCGAAAATTCCGGCATGCAAGTACAGTTGCACTCCTGTACAGTAAATTTGCGATTTTTAATGAACTAAAGGCGGAGGAGTTGTCAGTCGAAACCGCCCGTTAAAATGCAAAGAAATTCTTTCGGGTATTCGTAAACGCACGTGCAATTATTCAAGCAGATTTTATTATTACTGAAATATCTAGATACTCGCGTATTTTTATTGCACATGTATAAATGTACAATGTATCGCCAATTAAAATAAGAAATGCGAATTTTGCGAAATTACAAGCAAAAATTATGCAAATAAAATGAAACTAATTGAACAGTTGACGATCTTTGCTATCTTAGAAGTAGCTTGAAAGATATCTTGCATCCTGAAAATAATGATAAGAACGTGAGGCATTTCAAAAAGTCTCGTGCGCGGATCTTTAAAACTTACATATATTTCCCGACATTTTAAGTATTTGCAATAATATGTTTTAACACCCCGCGAGATTATACGACTGTTACACAGTGCAAGTGACACTTGGAATGAAAGGGTTAACACATTTTCGCATTCTTAGTTAATGAGCCGTGTTAAACCTTTTTTTTTTTTTTTCGTCGTTGTAATTAAAACGAGCGAGGCCGGTGCGTCGGAGCGTCTTAATCGGCAAACACAGTGGGAAACGGGAATGTAATCGCGTATTACCGTTGCTTACAACCCACCCAAGCCTTAGTTTACAACCTCACGGGTAACCTTACGCCGTCGATGGCGATTATCGCTTGCCCTGGCACGACGGCCCGCGGACAATGCAATTTAATCGTGCTTTATAGCGTATGGAGTATAGTTCACGTCGACATCGGACGCCGACATATTTCTAATCGCGGGGCTCACAACCGGGTGTACACAAACGTTCCTCTTACATCCAAATAATCGTCGACTCGTGCCGAGAGTGAGTGGGCAAGGTAGGAGGATTAAGGAAGATGATACGGTACGATCGCAGGATTGACGATACGATCGCTATGATTCAGTGGAATCCGGCAATAAGTAGGCTCACGCTTAAATATACCGTTAATCAAATTACGCTTTCTTTTCGTCTATTTCTTCTTTTCCAATACGATGTAACCAATTCAAGAATTCGGCGGAATTTCCCAATTTGCATACAAATCTATGGAAATGAGTGCATTCTTTCCGGTCGAGATCGATATAATAACGCGAAGCAGGTCGCCGTTAAAAGCGCCGTATTATTAATTGCGTCGTCACGCCGCCGTTGTAACGGACTTCAGCGTAATTTTCTAATCCCCATTTTCGCATACGTGTTATCCTTTCAAGGTTCAGTGGTCTGCACATTTAATACGCTGCGCGAGAATATCGTATAAGTTTATGTTTGCACAAAAGAAGAATAATTATAAGCATCTATTAATTAATACATCGTAAAATTATTCCTATTAGCATATCAAAATTGTACGATTTCTCTATTTCCTAATAATTATCAGTGTTTTAATTATAAAGATACAAAAATACAAAAGCGATTTTTTGTACATTACGGTTCAGGACAAATTTTCTTTCAACAATTGTCACCAAGGAAGAAATTATGCAAAATACAAAATTCATCGTTGAAATACATGTTATTCAACGGGTCTAAAATATTCTATATAATTGCCAGTCACTAATGATTCCCACGAGATTGATGAAAGTGTTAGTCATCCGTAACTCCGACACAGCATTAAACTCGTTAAAACGATATAACAATGATGAGTCATCGATTTCGTGCATCAGCAGTTGTATGATTTCGCATTTGCACCGGAAGGAAATTATGTATTTTCTTATATGACTGCAGGGTTATCTAGTTATCCGTGACTTGCGTTTCATTCAATTTAATTGTACAGTATTTGCACAGCATTATACTTGATAATTATCTCGCTATCGATAGGTATATTTCAATATACCGTTTTTTCACGCGCCTTTATTTATAGACAATGCAATTGTTCTTTTAATTTTCATCTGAAACGACATCAATATTTCACCACTTTTTTATTCTTCGTATTCTATTATTTTTTTTTATGTCTTCAAGTTGTTACACATTCCTTGGTTTTGGTTTGGTGATATAAAAATGCATTTGTTTCGAAATATTAACATAATTAATAAGCGGCTTTGCCAATCTGCGCAAATTGGCAAGATTCATCGTTTCATCGTTCGCATAATTCAGATTATTAAGTTCGTACGGGCGTTTCATGCAGCATGATTTAGCGCACGAGCGCAAAAATGATTGCTCGTGAAAACACGACGCAACGCGAGATCACCGAATTCAGCGAATATAATCCGCATCGCCGAGAAGATTCATGGCAACTTTTCGAGAAGTAATGTCCGCGCGAGATTCACCGATGTTGCATTTATTTCGGAGAATACATTATCTCTCCCCCTAAAAAAATGCATATATATATATGTGTGTGTATGCAGGTACTCTCGATTGGGGAGAGGAGAATGCGTACTCACCCTTCCCCTCCCTCCCCCTCTCACTCTCGCTTTTAATAAAGCCAAACCGGAATTGTAAAGCTGAATCTAAATTGCATAATTATACCGGTCTACGTCTCTCCTTCATTCCGACACACGCGATTTTTACCCCTCTTTCTTTCTTCCTCCTCTGCTTTGCTGCTTTTTTTACGCAGCAACCTTCTTTCGAGGTTGGCTCTCTTGACTCTGTTCTATTCTCGCCGACTGCTTTCCTTTCGCGACCGAAGATCAAGAGAATGACGGATGTTATAAATTGTTCAGAATGAGTGCCTGTACTCGCTTCTTAAGATCTCAAAAATAAATTAAGATAATTAATATTGTTTGTTCAGGAATGTTCAGAGTTTCAAATTGCAATTATATTAGCGCACTAATTGAAAAGAATACGAAATGTGTATTGTTCAATTAAAAAAAAAAAAAATAATTTATATCTGTTATTCGTATGTATATTTTGCTCGACAAGTTTTGAACAGACTCGGCTAAATAATTTGCTTCATTACGAATGCGTGCGTCGTTTAAAGGTCAGTAGTTACGGCAAAATAAAACAATAACCGTCGGGTGTGTCGTAGTCGGCGCTTTCACCGGTTTTTAAAGGTAAATCTGAGACGGGGCGACAGAACTACCGGTATTCTCGGTGAAAAGATTCCGTTCGAGTATCTAAGAGAAAGGTGACTAATGATCAAGATGCGCCGAACGACGATGCGGCTCATTTGGCCCTCCGGTTGGCCGGAAATGACTTTGATTGTGAGATCGGCTCCCAGAATTTACTTTCATCTCGACAGGTCATCGCCTCGTCGCCCAATTATTCAGTCGAGTGATTTCGCCCGCAGCGAAACAACGGCGCTGCACTTGCATTCTTATTAACCGACGTGCACATTTCGCAAGGCTTTCCTCGCGCATTGAAAAGTTCTGCAAGGTTCGCGCTTCGAATCGGGGATACGCTTGAAAGAAAATTGCGCGGCGTGTCAATCTTATCTATCCGCAAATCCGTTATTCAACATGTCCATTGTCTGGTGAATCACCTGTTGATGTCGTTGCACTTTTCCCGCAATGCAATGGTGATCGATGCGCCGCGTGTATGATGTACAAAGCGTAAATCGCGCGTATACGGACGGGACATAATCGACCGTAGTCGCCCGATCGATGTAACAATCGCGAATACGCGAACACGCACGTTCGCACGTCTGCGCAATTCTTGCGAATATATGTACGCACATATGTAAACCAATCAAGAGGATTTGTCCGTTGTTTCCTCGCTCGCGTGATGAATATCTATCTGTGTTAAATAGTCAAGTATGTGCGTGTGCGTGTAGTACCTCGTTCGAAACGAAATGTGCATGCACAGGCATCCTGTCCCTCCCAGCCTCATTACGAGACAATGAGCGTCGTTACATCGATCACAGGCCAGGGCATTTTGCCGAGGCGGAAGAGAGCGAGCTCTCTCACGTGGATGAGCAGTAGTGGATTTAGAGCTCCTAACGCTTAAAGGCCCTACAGCGCCTATAAGACGATCTTCTTCACTGTGAAACTAGTTTCTATGCGATAACAGTGAGCATTTTACTTTAATAGTTTTTCCTTTAATAAAAAAGAGACACACAAATTTAAAAGAATTCTAAATTCTTTCAACGTAATTTAAAATACAGTACGTGGTTGAATTTTATAATACTTCGAAGAAAAGCAAAGATTCTTATTTATA